CCATGATTCCCTTTGCCTCTTCTTTGTTGTCAATCGTGCACGTGCTCGTTTATGTCTAAGGTCTTCTAAGTTTTCAGGAGTGGTATGTTTTTTGAGTTTACTCAAGGCATGCTTTGTAGCTCGTATAGCTGCCTCACAATCTTCATTCCACCAAGGTACTGGATTTCTGGTTTTTAGGTGCTTAGTTTTTCATATATATTTGTAGGCTGCCTCTATAGTAATGTTGTTAAAGTTGTCCAAAGTATTGTTTATATTATTGGTTACTGTTGACTTATGTATGTTATCTTCTATGTGCTGTGAAAATTTGTGCCAATCCGCTTTATTATATCTCTATTTTTCTATTGGTGTTGTATCTGTCTCATCTTTTTCAGTATTTCTTATGAATATCGGGAGGTGATCGCTACCATATAAATTGTCTGATATTGTCCAGCTAAGTTGGTTTAGAAGGCTGGGTGAGCACAAGCTGAGATCTATTGTTGAAAATTTCCCTGTGGCCACATCTAGTCTCGTGCTATTTCCGTCATTTAGTAGATTTAAATTGGTTAAATCTAGCGTCGTTTTCAAAAGATTACCTCGGCTGTCATTTTTGTGAGAGCCCCATGTATAATGATGTGCATTAAAATCTCCTATTCTCTAGGCGCTGAAGAAAGAAACTAAACCCAAACAAATACACGCATATTGCTCGTGAGTGAGTGTTTAGGCGCAGGAGACATTACAGGACCGCATCAAGATATTATGGGTAGTCATCAAAAATTTCATACAAGATAATTATTATCTTTTACAGTAAATTTCAGTTAGAGATTCACAAATGAGTTAACTACACTTTTTAGTTATTAGTAAGTAAGCTGCGCGCACTCATTCAGAAGAGGAACTTGAATCTTCTGAATCGTTTAAATGAATTATTAGAGGTTCAATTTGGGTATCGATGACATTGTCCAAATCCCACATTTTGACCTCAACCTTCTCCCGAACGTGGCGGATACAGTTTTTCCATTCCTCTGCCGTAACTCTATTGACAGCGATGTGAAAGAGATTTTTAACATCAGAAAATTTATAAGTATTATTATTCGACGCCACGTATTGCTTTATGTTGGCCCAAATCAGCTCAATAGGGTTCAGCTCACAATGGTAGGGTGGCAGTCTCAAGACAGTTTTATTTTGTTTTTTGGCCATTTCGTCGATCATTTTAAAATCGTATTTGTATTTATGTCTATTGACTATACTTATCAATTCACCCTTGACCATTGTTTCATCAAAATCGATCTGTTTTGAGGCCAGCCATTGTTGTATGTTTGCTTTTTTAGTTGCCATTGTGGGAATTTTTTCTATTTTTCTAGAATGGTACGGGGCATTATCCAGTACAATAACAGCGTTATTCTCCAGCTTTAGTAACATTTTGGAGAACCAATTTTCAAAGGAATTGCCGTCCATCTCCTCATGATAGTCCCCTGTCTTTTTTGATTCAAAGGCCCACAGTGCTTCGGGAACAAAGCCGTCTTCACTACCTACGTGACAAATGATCAGCCGTTTGCCTTTTCCTGGAAATAAATTATTCCTTACACTATGGATTGATTAAATTTGAAGGAATGAGGCAATTGAGTTCATTTAGCTGAATTTAAGAGTCACGGAATGCTGATCAAAAACTGAAAAACGTAGAAAATTGAAGTATGAAGTAACTTCTCAAAACCCATTCAAAGCAAATTGACTGCACCCAAAAATGATAATAAATTTCAAAATAACGCTTAAAAGAGGGTCGAAGTTTTTTTCCTAATGACTATACTGCGAATGCACCATTTTTGGAGAATATCACACATTATCTGCTATCACAGCATATTATTTGCCCGAATTTATCAAAATTAAATTGCCTGATAGATGAAGGAGCTTACCTGCAGGATTTTTCAATCCAGCCGAAAGACCGTCTAGAAAAGCCTGCCTTGATGATGTTACTGATTTGTCGACCCAAACTTTCGCTTGAGTATGTCCAGCATTCACCCACGTTTCGTCCAAATAGTAAATTTTTCTTTTTTCATCGCGAAACTTCCGAATCTTCCTAAGGTATTCCCTTCTCCACACAACAATTTCTTCTTTCTCTATTAACATACTGTTTCTTCCCCGTTTCAAGAATCGAAAATTAAGTTCCTTCAAAAGTTTTCGGAATGTGGTTCTTTTAAATGATGGAAGATCCTCATCAGCATTAACTAATCTTAATATCTTATCTACTGTAGGTATCTCATTTCGGAAGAAAAAATTATGCACTTTCCTCCTGATGGCAGTTCTGTCAAAGTCATCTACTCCGTCCGTTATCCTTTTTCTTGCAGGATACGGTTTTGGCTCAGAAAGTGAGTGAGTGCTCCTATATTCCTTAATGATCCTATAAACACTGGACCGACATACTCCAGAAATATGTGCTACCTTACATACAACTTCGTCCACGACCAAATCGGGTTTTTCTTGAATTTGGTTTTTGTATATATTTAATATTATTTGTTTTTCATTTGCACTTAAATGTAGCTTCTTAGCCCTTTTTTTGGGTGGGGTTGCGCTGATGTCAACCACTTCGTCGGCTGTATCTGTGTCAGACATCGTATCTTAGGCAATATATAAACAAAACGCGAAAAACGAGTATACGCTACTGAATGCGTAATGCGTATGCAATGCAAACCTGTGCGTGAATTAACTGTTAGATGCCTGTCGTGTCATCTACAATCACGTTTACAAGTCCAAACCTGTGCAGATTCGTAGAGCGCCGACGACTGCTAGTGACCTTGAATTTGTCTGTAGATCGATGTTACTCCAGTCAATTTAGGTTCAAAGTGGATGTTTTCTAAACCAATTTGTTGTTCCTACATCAAAAATATATCGATGATGTTTTGTACTGGGAGCTCATGAAAGATCAAGGTAACTTATTTTAACAGTCATCCTTTTTCTAGTCTCAAAATGACACGAAAAAGGGTCTGTGGATTCACTAGAAATACACTGCCAAGGATGTTTAGACCTAAAGTGACTGGAGTATATCCGTGGATGCTTTCGAGGGATCTGTTCACGTGCTGATCACTGTTTACGTTTAATGTCTTTCTTCAGCGCCCAGAGTATAGGATGATTCTTGGTGCTGGTATTTGTTGTAGAAGGTTTCCAAGCTCGTTCTCCGCTAGGTGATAGTTGGGTGGAATATAAATGTTACATATGGTAACCTTATTGGCTCCTTCCATTGTAACAGCTACTGCTTCTAAGTTTGTGTTGAGGTTCACTTGATGTGCTACTGTATCCCTTTTCACGAAAGTAGCGACTCCGCCGCTGGCTGTTTCTCTATCACGGTTTTTGTAGAATCCCTGGTATTGCTTCGGAGACATTATTTTTCCATCACGAAAGTGTGTTTCCTGTAAGCAGATAATATTTGGCATGTGATCCGCTATGAGTTTGTGAAGCATGTTAGAATGGATGAAGTATCCATTCAAGTTCCATTGTAATATTGATGTAAACATATTATTGGAATGAGGAGTCAACAGAGGAAGTTTCGCTAAGAGAATCTTCAGTATTGTTCCCAAGATATTTTTCTAGTTTTCTCCTTAGCCTAGTACATCGATTTTTTAATGTCCGATCCGTTATGTGGGTTTATACAAGCAATAGTGTTTCTATGATACCTTTTGTGTCTGAGGTGTAGTCTTTAATCACATTTGCGATATCGGGTACTCCATGGGTATTTTCTAATAGGCTTTTGAATTGGTCGCTATCTAGAGTAAGGGGTGGATTATGATTATTTATAAAGGTTCTTAGAGGAAGGAATGTATTTTCTGATATACAAGTAGATTGTACCTCAGATTTGTGTTTCTTTGCTTTAATGTCCTTGGGTATGGCAAACACTTTTGTGTTAATACTACCTGGTACTGGATCATCTTCTGGTGTTGGTGGTGTCTGGATTTCAGTGAAGTTTCGCTTTGTAGATATGCCAGATGCTATATTTTGTTCATTATTGTTTGTTGTTTCTATTATCAGTGATGTGCTAGCTGGTTGTAGAGGTTCTTGTATGGATGAGGCTTGTGATATAGATGGTGTACGGATGGTTAAGGCTGAGGTCTGTAATGGGGCATGTACGTTAGTGGTAGCTTTTGTTAGTTTAGCTGTTGTTTGTTCTTTCTGCTGGATGTTTGTATTTACTGGGTTTTGTTGGTTATTAGATGTGCTTTGTATAGCTGCTTTCTCTAAACTAGGTGTTTGATCTTTTATGTTAGATGAGGTTGATGAGGTATGAGGAGCATATGGGCATTGTGATGCGATGTGGCCGGTTTGTTTACATTTGTAGCATTTCTGACTGTCTAACGACAAAAAGATGCGGTAATTTAGGTCTTCGTAGCTAATTTCCAATGAATCAGGGATATTCGATGGTTCTGTTGATGTAATATAAACTTGTCTTCGGAAGCTTAAAATACGGCAGTATTCCGGAAGCGGTGCGCCAACTTTCAAGAAAGTAATGGGAGATACAAGTGTAATGCCCAAATGCAACAAACGGTCCCTCAGTACAGCATCTGGAATAGTGGGACAGATATTCGATATTACTAATCTGTCTGCGGGTGTGACCAGTCGACGTGCAAATAAAATTTCATTGTTAATTTCAATTTTACCATGATTATCTAAGAACTGGTCAACTACATTTTTGTTAGATAGATAAATGCATATTCTGTTGTTTGATTTTCGGGAGCAAAATAATATATTCTTTGGGCTTACAATAGTGCCAAGTTGTAGTAAATAATCTTGCAGTTTGGCTTCATCTACAGCATTAAATATTATCCCTTGTTCCTTTTTAGGATGCTTGTATGTTTGATGAGATAGTGCACTAGAATAAGATTGTGTTGTTGCACTGTTTAGTGGGGTAATAGGGCTGTTTGTTAGTGGCATACTAAGTTCGCTTATATTTCGCTTTAGGACAACCTCTGATCATGGCTGGATACGGACCTGTCTCCCGCGAGTTGTTTATGTTTTCGGTTGTTGCTTGAATTCGCAGTACAATAAAAACTATTGGTACTACCTGCTATGGTGCACAACTCAATTATTTGCTTCTTTTATTCAATGACTTGGATGAAATTCACTTCGTAAGTTACAATACGGTTTTAATAGTTATCGTTCAAACTGCACTGGTTTACGTAGATTTATTCAAACTGGTGGGTTATCGACACTAACACGTCTTACTCGCACGACAGTTGGAACGGAACCGCACAACTTATCTGATTCAAACGTACTGAATGTATCTTTAAATGTATTTTCTGAGAAACATCCAGATTTATGCCATTTTTATTATTAAGATTAAGATTTGTATTTTTCATTTCAGCTGTATATGTATTCGCGAATCATTATTTGGAAGGAAAAATGTACTGAATATATGTTTACAGTATTAATTTACTTTACTTGCCAGCGTATTATGTAAATTGAATAGATGGTTATTCTTTGTATATGTATTATCGTTGAATGCGTTTGTATATTTTTAGCATAATTTCAGTTTTAAGGGCTAACTGTAATAAAAATAAAACCTAAAATCGAGTGTTATTGTTTTTTTGTTCAATTCCATAAATATGGGAAATTGCAGTGGATCTCTGAACGACCTATTTTTCACTTGAGATTCAGCCCTCTGACACTTCACGACTTTTTGAATTCAGCGCTCCATAATACCTAAGTGTACCATATTTCATTCATTTGTAACGACACCTGGCTAAAATGGAAATGTTGGCACTACAAACGCCTATAATATTTTAAGTTTTCTATGAGAAAATTTCAAAAACCTCTCGACAAAAAACTCGTTTTCTAGGTAAGTATGCTACGCGGATTCCGAATTAAAAAAAGGAGAAGTGTCGCTAAGATTAGTGTTTTAAAAATTAACCTTTGAAACAAAAAAATATATAATATGATAGAATATAATAGTACTAGAACTAATAGAAATGTATGAATATGCAATAATAACTAATTAACAACCGGAAAAATATAAATAATTACAATAGTTCATAAAAAACTACATACTTGATAACGCTGTATGTCGTTTTCTAATAGCGCTAAAAAGATTTTGTGGTGTTTGCTATAAAATCGAGTTAAATTCTAAAAACGTAGTTGTTGTAAAAGTGTAGTACTCCTTTATGTATGCAACGAAAAGGAAATGAGTGAATGCATCTAGGACTCGCTAAAACATTTATCATAATAGTAGATTTTTTGGTTAGATGCCATTAGCTTTCTAATATTTGACGGACAGGGCTGCCAGATCGACTAGTACCAAAATCCTTTATGTAGGAGGCAAGGTCATCAACATGCAAGAAACGTGTGATTTCTGCAAAAAGCCGGTATCTGATGATGATGATGAAGGACTTTGGTGTGATAAGAGCCTGATATGGAGGCCTTTCAATTGTGCTGGAATCATACCAAAAGTTAACAAAATCCGTTGATCCCTGGCACTGTGTAAGCTGCAAGATGCAAAACATAAGGCGGACGCAGGAGAGGCGAAGCCTAAGGGTGATGCAAATCAGGCTTCTGCTGCTGCATATACCCTTGCTGATGTGATGGAGAAACTGGAGGAGATGGACAGAAAATATAATCAGCTGTTTGCAAAGTGTAATGAGCAAATTGCTTTAATTGGTGATTTGAGGCATTTGAAGTTTTAAATATAAAGAGACAGCTTAATACAAGTGAGCAAAAAGAATTAAACAGGAATCTCACCATCCATGGCGTTCCATATCAAAACCAGGAAAATCTGTTAGAGATTGTTAAGAAAATCGGAGAGCAGTTGCAGGCACCAATTGAAGATGGGGCAGTTATAGCTTTTCTAGTGGGGAAGGTGAACAGTGAGAAGAAGCCAATCAAGGTTATTTTTCATAGGGAAGAAATTAAAACAAAAATGTTAAGATCAAAGTTGAAGTCAGGACTAAATGCACAAAATTTAATATTCAATTCAAATAGAAATTTCTTTCTAAATCATGATTTAACAAAACGAAACCTGAAACTATTTAAGGAGGCACAGACATTTGAAAAGGATAACGATTACAATTTTCTATGGATTACCAGTGATTAGATATTGTTGAGAAAATCGGAGAAGAGTAAAATTATTCTAGTAGAAGATGATGTCCGGAAAGTAATAGGACTCATTTTCTTCCGCCATGACTGTACTTCGGAGCGTGCGCGCACCGACTGGATTCGGTAGACGGCGTTCCTAGCTAACGAATGAGCGGCTGGTCAGTTGTCTCCGAGCACTTGGAGAGTCAGGGCAGGCATTTTCGCGCGCCGTGTTTCTGTGAGTGGTGCAAGCCGAAAATGCAGCGTTCGTTAGAGCAGAGGTACGCGATTAAATTCTGTGTGAAGCTCGGTAAATCTGCGACAGAGACGTTCGATATGATCAAGCAGGCTTACTCAGGTGTTGCTTTAGCAAGAAGTGATGTGTTTCGGTGGCACCAGGCCTTTTTGGAGGGCCGGGAAGAGGTCGCTGATGAAGACCGTGCTGGAAGACAAACACCGATAATGTGACTCGTGTGCGCAAAGTTTTGAACTCAGACCGTCGACTAAGTATTCGTTTAATTGCCCAGATATTAAATTTACCAAAATCTGTGGTTCATGACATTGTGACACAGGATTTGAACATGCGCAAGGTCTGTGCCAAGATGGTCCCAAAAGTGCTCACTGACGACCAGAAATTGCGGCGAGTGGAAGTGTGCCAAGAAAATTTGACATGTGTGAAAGTGTCCCCAATTTTTGAATAACTTAATCACAGGTGATGAGTCGTGGATCTTTGAGTATGATCCCGAGACAAAGAGGCAATCTTCCGAGTGGCACACGACGGCGTCTCCTCGCCCAAAAAAGGGAAGAATGAGCAAATCCAAAGTGAAAACGATGCTCATTGTCTTTTTTGACATCAAAGGCATCGTTCACCATGAATTTGTTCCTCCTGGACAAACCGTCAACGCCAAGTTTTACGTGGAAGTGCTCAGGAGACTCAAACGAAGGGTCAGTCGGGTCCGACGCTTCCGCAGCCGCCCTATAGCCCAGATGTGCCCTCCCGGACTTTTTTTTGTTTCCTCGCCTGAAAAGTCCGATGAAAGGCAAGCATTTTGAGACGACAGAGGGGATCCGAGCAGCATGCACCGCGGCTCTCAAGGCTATTCCGGAGAATGCCTTCCGTGACGCCTTCAATGCTTGGAAATCGCGCTGGCAGCGCTGCATCGACGCAGAAGGAGCCTATTTTGAAAGTTTTTAAAGAATTGTAACGATTGGCTCAATAAATTTTTTAAATCGACTCAGTCCTATTACTTTCCGGACAAACCCTGTAGACCTAAAAAAAGTAGTGCATAAGAAGTTAAATACAACTTACATGAACATTCAACGCCTGCGTAATAAATTAGATGAAGTGCAATGTTATACGGTACAAAGTGCATGTGATATTCTAGTACTAACTTGTTGAAACTTGGCTAGACGAAGATGAAACATGGTTATGAGAGATTAAAAGGGAGGTGTAGCATCCATATTTGTAAAGGAGGAACTAAGAACTTAAGAAATTGTTAAGTCCCCTTCAGATAATAATCTTAGTTGAATAAGTGCTAACCTTGTAGATTATGATGTCAAATTAAGCTTAATTAAGCCCCCCACATATGAAAATGAGCAGTTTCTTGACTGTCTGGAAAATCCTATGTCAGCATATCCAAAAAGTCATATTATTGTGGGTGAATACCAATCTACTAGATACGCAAACAAACCTAGTCCAAGGTTACAAGGATACTATAAACATGTACAATTATAACATCTGCAATGAAATTGGTGCTTGCTTTGCTACCAGACTAACTGCTAAGACAAAACGGATTGTAGATCATGTATTGGTAGAACAGGGCTACAACAAAAAGTGCTCAGTACTGGTTGAGGAAAATCCATTGTCATACCATTGCAAGCTACCGATTGTCTTGAAGGAAGAACGAAAAGTTTATAACGAAAAAACTGTGAGTGAGGTTAAATATAATGATTATAAGATGTTTCAATGGTTTGGAGAGCAAATTGATTCAGGTGATATAGATAGCTTGTCAGGTAGTTACGCGAACGGCTGTTGTTTATTTTGAATTCAGTGAATACTCGTATACTGTATCTTACAGTGAACAATATTACTATTGATGCTCCAGTAGCCATAGTAAAAAAGTTGAACAAACATTTTGTAGAGGTTGGCAAAAACATAGTTTCTGACATAGACATAGAAAGTATTAAGTTTAATGAAATTCACTTTGAACATCTTGTCGATGTGCTCTTAAAATTATTCAATAATGTGCTGTCTAGTGGTAGTTTTCCAGAAATCATGAAAATAAGTAAAATTGCTCCCGTTTTTAAATCTGATGATAAAGACTCAATGAATAATTATAGACCAATTTCAGTGATTCAGTGTACTCTCAAAAGTTTTAGAAATCATAATGAAAAAAGAATGTTAGCGTTTTTGAAAAAATATACTGTGTGTGACATTAGAAGTGTTACACCCAGAAAAAATAATTTCTGTAACTTGTTTTTTTTTGCAACATAATGACTTTATTTAAAGCATGCTGTGGCCTTTGTTAAAATCTTATTTCTTAGTTTTTAAGAAGGAAGCAGTTTCTGAGAGCTGAGTAGTATACAGATATTTTTAGTGATTGCCGTTTCATTTACTAGTGTTAAGCATAACAAAATGTCTCGAGTTCGAAGACGTCCAAATTATCACCATGTTAGCGACTTTGACGGTGGTAGAATTATTGCCTATCAAGATGTTGATGTGTCCTATCGCGAAATTGGCCGCCGTGTTAATGGCACCGCAATGACGGTGATGAGCGTGTGTTGTGTGTGGATAGAAGAAGGTAGAGGGACACGAAGAAGGCCAGACCTGTTACTATGCGTACACACTATCGCCGCATTCGAGCCTTTCGACTTTTTCCATGCCGTTCACGGTTAGTGCTTCCTCTGACTGCGGATCACTATCCCCAACGTTTGAACTGGAGCAGGGAACCGCAACATAGGGAGGCAGAATGGCATAAGTCATCTTCAGCGACGATTCGCGATTCTGTCCTGATATGCACGATGGTCGTAGAAGGCTACGACGCCGCCGTGGAGAATAGCGTGATATTGGATTTGCTGCTGACTTTCTTCAAGAAGTAGGCGTTAATGTTTTGCCGTGGCCACCCCGTTCACCGGATTTAAATCTCAGGAAACTATCGACTGCACCATCCGTCTCAGACTCTGCCACAGCTAATCCACGAAGTTCGAGGTGCTTGGAATGAGGTGCCATAACCAGACATCCATCATATCATTTGGTTGATGCCTAAACGAATACAGGATTGTATTCAGCTGCGGGGTCGCCCAACACATTATTTTTTTTTACTATTACTTCTTCTACACACTACACTTCTAATGTCACTGAGTATACATCGGTATGGACAGATTTCAGTAACGTTTTATAAAAGGCAGTAATACATTGC